CTAGCTCATAGCTTCTGTTTATTTTATTTTTTTTTTACATTAAAGTTTGTATATAAACAGACACAGTACGGCTTTCTACCAACAAGATGCTCAAATCAAGGTTTAAATTCAATTCTGAAATTTCCTCAAGTTAATCAAAACACAGACATACCAAAGTCACGGTCTCTTTCACATCTTTCTCGAAATCATAAAAGCTCCGACTCTCCTCCGGACACGGGATTCTTCTTGTGTCTTTGGGCATTGTCACTAAACACTGAGGCACAGCTTTAGCTTTATCAATTATCAGATAATGCTGGTAGAAACATGTGCACCTTTACAGCTATGGAAGTCACATTATCTGGACAACGAAAGGATTCCACATCACCCCGTTCGAAGAGAAGAAAAATTTGCCGTGCCTGTTTACCGGAAGTGACAACAAGTAAAGGGAAATAACTGGCAATCGCATTACCAATTAGCAGACATCAAGGAAAGCTGTGTCTTACTTTCGATTTTATTTTGGTTTTTGGTTTCATATATAATGATCATCTGCTGCTTTGTACATGCATCTGTATCTGAACTTCTGTCTCAACACGTTACCTTTTTTCTGACAAGACAGTGCCATATTTATGTGTTTAATAAGGTGGTTTTCAAGCAGTCTAGATAGACCTCGACGACGACCGACTATTAACGTTACTGTAGTATGCAAAAAAAAAAAAAAAAAAAAAAATTGTAAAAGATTAATTAAATTAATTAAATTAATTTAAATGGTGTAAATATTGGAGGAGTTAAAATCGGCATTTGGTTGGTGTGAAATCACTTTAATGGGGTTTAGGCCCAAAATGGGATTACTGTCCGTATTTACATCGATAAATTAACGTTAAAACTACAGTCCTTTTTTTTTTTTTTTTTTTTTTCAAATAAAAAAATAGCCTAAATAAAAAAAATTAATACACTCTAATATCCGGTTCAAGAGAATAACAATTTTGATTCGAGCTTCTTAAATGTTTGAAACATTTCTTATCTGCATGAGAGATACATATTCAGTATACCTGTATAATATTCATTATCAAAACCACCCTTTGCTCCTTTTATTTTGCACCTATCCAAACTATGCACTGGCGGGACCCCTTTCTTTCTTTCTTTTCAGAGAGCTTTAAAAAGTTTGATAGAAAAAATTGGTAAAAAATAGTTTGGTTTTGTCCCTTTTTATTGTTATAATTTTTAAAATCGTACTTGCTATAATTCATGATCGTTAAAGAAAGGGGGGTACCTATATGAAGCTAAGATGGGATGGACGGGGTGGGGGGCTACCACACCCAAGCTGAAAGAGCCAAAGCTGAGACCCGCGCTCCACTTTTTAACCTCAATTTGAGAAGAGCCCATCTGTTTGATGACGTGCGTTACGTTATCTCGATGTCACACGTTTGACACCTGTCCATCTAGATACCCTGAGTTTAACGATGAACGATGAAAGTGTATAAAACTCCTTAAAGGCTCCCTTTAATAGGGGCCTGCTATCTATTTCCATAGGCAATAAATAATGCAGATGGAACGGACCTCAAAGAAGCACGTGAACTCAGGGTGTCATTTACGTAAGCACGTTTTGTTTATAATATATAACACTGTCTGTGCCATAAGGGTAGGTTACATTGGGTGAGTAGCCTGCAGAGACAAAACCAGGGATGAAGGCAATGACATTTCTCTGCGCCATCTTGTAAGTACTTGAAAGTAGGCAGAAAAAAAATAATGAACACATCGTGTCTCTAGAGAAGACTTCACTGTTCTACCTTTGAGGCATCATGTTTTACGTTTTCATCAAATAGAATATGGCCGTCTCTTGGACATAAGCTGCTTACTGAAAATAATTTTTTATGTTTAAAAATGATAAGATATTGGTGTAAATTTGCGCGGGCGACTGAGAGAGAGAGAGAGACAGAGAGATAGAGAGAGAGAGAGAGAGAGAGAGAGAGAGAGAGAGAGAGAGGAAAATAATTTCTTATGCACAAAGTACGTACAATTAACTAAATTTCCATAATCAAAACCATTCCAAATACTCGTGACAAAGTGACTTAAAATATATCCTTTAAATCGATACGTTCAGCGATAATTTAAATATGATATGATTACAGTTTGGTATTGGTGGTTTACTCGACCGCAGGGGAGACCGGTGGTCAGGTACAGTTGGGCCGCCTGGGTGACCAGATAGACCGACATAATATTGAACAGGAATCAAAGGAGGCAAAGAAGAGAGCCGGTAAGCTGCATAATTTTATCTTATGTCTTATGTCAGATTTGAGGGTTATTCTGAGTTAAACTAAGAAGTGATTGCATGGAAGCTATTTTGATGACGTGAATTGCAAAAAGGATAATATAAACTTGATCATGAATGAATTCACCATTAAAATGCGTATTACATGTATTTCGATGCCCTTCGATACCGTTTTCATGTGTTCTCTATTTATTTATTTATTTATTTATTTATTTATTCGTGAAGAAACACAGTGTTGTTATTTAAGCAATGCACTGCGGTTCATCGACTTTTAACATGTAAATACATTTTTTTTCATCTTCCACATAACCAAACCAGTCGTCGTTGGTTCTGTCATAGCGGGTGCGTCTGGCGTGGTTGGTATCCTGCAGTCTGTATCCTCCCTTGTGACGTCAGACCGTGCTTGCGTCATAGCGTTGGCCAACACTGGTAGCAAGAGCCTGGTGAAGCCGACCTGGTGAGAGAGAGAAAGAGAGAGAGAGAGAGAGAGAGAGAGAGAGAGA